GGGTTTATTTTACTTTTTACTTTTACTTTTACTTTTATTCGTTTGAGAGATATTTTGAGGTGTTTCAAGATTGGGAGATTTGGAGATTTTAGAAGTTTAGTGATGATTGCTTTCTTTGAGATAGATGATGATGATGAATACTTATTAAATTTATTTTTTTGGAAGGAAATGGGATAGGATGGGAGGGAGAGTGTGTAGTGTGTAGTATTTGATTTTGGATGTAAGATATAGAATGTTGATATTAATATGATATGATATGGAGATATGGGGTCAAGGATGGACATTGGAAGTTGGCATTGGTGGTGATATTCAATAGATGGGAGTTACTGGACAAGATGTGTATTGGCATACCATGTTGAAGTCACCTCTGAAGCACCACAACATACAAAACACACAAGCACATCAAATAATGAAGTTTCATAAATCCATGAACTCCATTGAAAAACCTCAAACAAATTGGTATATCAGTACGACACAAAGCGCTTTTGATTTTCATTCATAAAGCCTATCTATTGCGCCTCCCATTTTGTAACCCTCAAAAGAGATCCCATCATTACAATGCATGAATAATTTAGTATTCAGCAGAGCTTCCTTGTGGGAACTCAAAGACAACACCACGACCAGTCAACTTCTTGTAAACATCAGAGTAGGTGTCAAGTCTGTGGTCAACACCTCCCTTCTCCTTCTCATCAAGGATAACCTTCAAGATCTTGCTTCCGTCCTCCTTGGTACGGAGACGCTTTCCAACAATCTCAACTGGGTAAACGAGGTCGGTAAGGATAGCATCGTGAACAGCAGTCAAAGTTCTGGAACGAGGACGCTTTTGAGTAAGGGAAGTTCGGGATCTGTTGGATCTCTTTGGGCGGGGAAGGATACGACGAGCAGCGAGGATCAAGACGTGACGGTCAGAGAACTTCTTCTCAAGCTCACGGGTAAGACTTTCTCGTTGTTAGTATAGTACATGTAAGAATGGACAAGATAAACATACCGTTGTTGAACCTTGTGGAAAGCTTGAAGGGAAGGAACGGGGACAAAGATAGCAATAGCCTTCTTGCCGTGGCCAACTTCAATCTAAAAATTTCGATCAAAGTCAGCATGCGATCTCCAGTCTAAATTGACATGGTCCGCAGCCCGTTCGATTCCACCATCAACACCGACATCCTCAACTCTCAATTTGGTATAATGTATCTTCATCAATTTCATTTCATCTTTTTCCCAATTGACCAAAGAATATCAAATTCCATCGTATGTTTATATTTCGAAACTTTCGATTAAAAAATTGATACCAATATCCAATGTTTGTTTGATGAAATGTCGTCTAGTATACGGTATACGAAATGAAATTCGAAATGTCGGTGTTAATCGTAAAAATATCGAATGACTATGAAAGCTGCATTCCAATTCTAAATTTTCGCAGGATTCATTTGTTTCCGCACATTTGATCAATCTCAAATAAAAGCAGAAAACAAAAGAATCATCTGCAGTTAATCATTAGAGCTCAAGAAAAAAAATTTAACTAACCTCCTTAGCAGAAGAGAATTGAAGAGGTCTCAAAGCAGCCTTCAAGTCTGGGGTGTTGGACTCGAGATCGTAAAGAGCACCAGCGATGCTGGTCTCGAGCTCAGATGGACTGGCGCGGGAAGGGCTGGTGGCCACGATCTTGTTGAGGGCAGACATTTTTGCGATTGTCGATTGTCGTGATGGATGGGAATGAAGAGGAAAGTTTTGGGAGATTTTGATAGAAGGAAGTTTAGAAATTGTGCGGATTGTGAAGCGAGACACTAGGGAATTTTGGGTTAGAGTGGATGAGAATGAAATGTGGGGTCGACCTTTCTATCCTGCCCTGCCCCTGCAAGGCTACTCGAATATTAAGAACAGCAAAATAAGGAAATACCAGTATAACAAAATCAAAGATTAAATCAAAACAATATCATTATAATACCAAAATTAAACTCAAACTCATCCCGAATAAGAAAGTCATCCGGTAATAAACGAAAGCTTTACATATACATATATCAATATCCATATCGATATCGCTATCATACCCATGTATAGAGTGACTGTATAAGAGTGTGTAGACTGTATAGTGTATAAACGCCTACTCATCAATTAAACCCCATTCCGTTTCATTCCATTCCATTCCAGTCCGCTCCAAGCAATCCGAATCCCAGTCCAGTCCCGTCCAGTCCAGCCAAATCCATTACTAACCGACCATCCATCCATTCACTCTCCTAGAATATCCATCTATTCAATTCCAACACCAACCCCAAATATAAATTCATCCATCCCCATTCTCTCTAAAACTATTAAACCAAATCAAATCCCACACTCCCAAAGATCAACTTTCAAAAAGACTCCTAAATCAAACACCCTTTCTTCCCTTCTACATTTCTAAAAAACTCCATTCCATCCCCTTTGCCTCGTACTCCCACTCTCACTCCCCATCCTCGCCACACTCTCTAACTTTTCAATTCCCTCAACCCCAAGAACCAAAATCCATAATAAGAATCTTGGGATCCTGTCCCGTACTCACAATCCTTCTATAATCACTCTTTGCTCCCAAAACCCAGCTTGCATGCCATTTTGGAAAATCCAATAATAAATGTCCCGTTTCCATATCCCAGACTTTAATATGTGGATCAAAGCTTCCCGATATCAATCTCCCACTAACGGAATCGATGTGTAAAGACCTAGCGGGGGTTCTCATGAGCTGGAATCGAGGTATTTAGGTGCGACTATTTAGGTGAGACTATAGTCTCGTCTTAAATAGT